AGGTCTAAAACAAATAAACTCAGGTTTTAAACCTAGTATAACAAAGCCTTATGCCGGATCCCTAGTAGGAACGTTTGTTTGCATCATGTGCATTTTGACTTTGGAGACTCAACAAAGGGGTTGGGTCTGTCTAGGACAGGTGTACCCAAAATAACAGACCATCTTGATGCATCCTATGTGCTACATGTTGCATTTCTTCAAGGTAAAAGGGTCATTTTGCGGACCAATGATAACTGAGGGCGAATGAAAAAAAAGGGAAAAAAAGAGAAAAAAAAGAGAGGCTGAAATGTGAGGATGAAGCGAGTAGGGCCCAATTATAATTTTGTTACATTTTATTAAGAAAAAAAGAGCATGGAAACTTCAAAAAGATTTTGCACTTTTTATCATTTTTCAAAAATCAAAAATCGAAAAAAAAAGAAAAGAAAATCCAAAAATATTTTATATGTTTCATTATTTTTCGAAAAAAAAAAAGAAAAAAAATGTGTTTGCTATACGTCAGTTGTTTTTTCTTTATTCTCGCCCGTATCCAATCTGCCCGAACTACGCGAACCTGATTCTCGTCTCTCGGGGCGGGATACGTAGGCAACCCACTTAGGGTCCGGTCTTCCTAGTAAATCTTAGGTTCTTGACTTTGCGGGGTCATAGCCAAATTTTGCACTGCTAGCCACCTTTTGGCCAAGTAAGCCATTTTTCAAAAGTAGCCTCAATTATGTCTTGCATGTGTCTAGTAGGGAATGTTATCGTCTCATATAGTGTTGGTTCAAGTTTTCTTATACAGGTGTGGATTTATTTATCGGAGTTGGAGCATGACGAAGCCCTAGGACATCTAGTCAGGATCACTGCATTCAGAAGTTGCTCGAGGAGTCATTTTATATTTTTGAGTCAATTGTTTATGTTTTACTTTCTAGTCATGTATAGTAGTATTCGGTCTTTTAGGTAATGTTAGAGTTTGTAATAGTCTAGTTAAATTTGCCTAGTCTTTTGTTATTGTATTCCTTATTTGGTATTTGGAAATGTATTACAAGTCAAAAAAAAAATTGCGTTTTTATATTTTCGTTATAAGTTTTCTTTAGAATACTAATTCTATAAATGAAAAAAATTTCCTTTGAGGTTGTTTTTCCTTTAGGCAATTAATATCAAAATAAAAATTGCTTTTATATTTCCTTTAGTATATTAAGACCAAAAATTCAAAAAAAAAAAGAATTTTCTTTAGTACCTCTTTAAAAGTTTTCTTTTAAGATATTAAATCCAAAAATCCAAAAAGATTTTCTGTTGAGGTTTTTCTTTGGAAAATTGATGAAAAATGACTTGAAAAAAATATTTTATTTTTATTAGAACTTTAGGACATTGTACATATAAGAAAAAGAAAACAACAATACTTTTTCTTTGGTTTATTTTCGGAGTTTCTTCCTTAGGTAATCAAAATTCAAATCCAAAAACAGTTTTTTTTTTATCTTTTTCATTTCTTGTTTCGAAGTCTTTTCTTCAGGATATCAAGTGAAAATTCAAAATATTTTTCTTTGGTCTGGCCTTAAGATTTCCTTCTTAAAAAGAAAAAAAATCAAAAAAATATTTTTTTCTCTTGTAGGGATTTTCCTTAATAATTTTCCATAGAGTATTTATTTCAAAAAGAAAAAATATGTGCTCATTAAGCTTGAGTTTAGAATCGGTTATAGAGCATTCAGTCTAGAAAATTCAAAAAAAAAAGGATTTGCTTCTTTTATTTCTCTTTTCTCATCGGATTAGTCACTAAGGTAAAAAAGAAAAAAAAAGATGAAAATGAAAAAGAATACGTTAGTTTATGTGCTTTACTCTCGATCTTCCAAAACTACGCAAAGATCTGATTCATGCGGCGTCATGATACGTAGGCAACCTACATAGGGTTCGATCGAATCATTTTTTTATTATTATTAAAAGAAAAAGAGAAAAAGGAAAAAAAAAAGAAAAAGGGGGAAACGAAAAAAAAGGTGAAATTATGGGATGTGAGATATGAGAGAAAGAAAAGAGTGATGAAAATAAAAAAGAAAAAGAAATGAAGGAAAATGGGCAAGCCAGCAAGTACCAGAAAAACAAAGAGAAGAGAGGTTGAAATGAACAAATTGGGATGATGCCAAGTGACCTTGTGACCCTCGAAGTCATTCTTGGACCGTAAATTATTGCTAGGTGCATGGCACGAAATGTGATATTTTTAGCTGTTAAATGCTCTAACGCTAACATGATGACTTCATTTTGTTCCTTTTGTTCTCCTCATTGAGCAGAAGGGTGGTTGGTTTGTGGTTCTTAAGATAACTCATCCATTCAACACAAGGCCAAAGGGCAAGGTAGCCATGACTAGCAAAAATTTGGGCACAAGAGTTGTTGACCCGTCAAGGGAGTTTGTGGAGTCAGAGTCTGAATCGAAATAGGAGTTCCAAAGGGTGAAACAACAGATGGCAGAAATGTATCAGTCTTGGATCAGGGGGCATCCTCCGCCTTCATTCCCCACTAACTACACCGAAAACCCTGCAACTATCCCACCACTATCCCAAATCCAGATTCCCACTGCTGCTGATATCACCCCACAACCTTTTCACACTCTACCCGCCAAAACCACC